AACAGCCACCCAAGGCTGAACTACTTGGGGGTGGGGGAAGGAACTTGGGGGTGGGGGAAGGAATGCCGGTGCATCCTCAACTTGTGCCTGCCCTCTGGGGCTTCCGCTGGGGTGCTGCGCCTCTCCTCCGCCAGGTGGAGCCTGGCCTCACGTAACGGGTTCAGAGGTCACGTCGCGGGTTTTAGCAAACTGGTTGAGGTGCAGTTGAGGGACGGAGGTTGAGTCCCTTCTTAGCACTGACTAAGCCACCGAGCATCCCGCACCTTGCACATCCTGCACCCTTATCCCTTGGGTAAAGTTGCCTGCTTCCCCGGCGGTTCCCAGTCCTCCGGGGAAGGAAAGCAAGCACGAGGCAACCCGGCGACCCTCCGCCACCATGCCCCACCTCCGGGCTAGCGAAGTCCAGCAGCTGCTGCACAACAAGTTCGTGGTCATCATGGGAGACTCCATCCAGCGCGTGATGTACAAGGACCTGGTGCTGCTGCTGCAGAAGGACTGCCTGCTGACCTCCAGCCAGCTGAAGGCCAAGGGCGAGCTGAGCTTCGAGCGCGACTTGCTGCTGCACGGCGGCACATGCGACCGCGGGCATCATGGCAGCCACTACCGCGAGGTGCGCCAGTTCTGCTCCGGCCGCCACCTGGTGCGCTTCTACTTCTTCACGCGCACCTACTCAGCCTACGTGGAGGACGTGCTGGCGCAGCTGCGCGGGGGCCAGTATGCGCCGGACCTGGTGGTCATGAACTCGTGCCTCTGGGACCTGTCCAGGTACGGCCGCAGCTTCCGCAGGCGGTACCTCGTGGACCTGGGCCGGCTCTTCCGACGGCTGGACCAGGTGCTGCCCGAGTCCTGCCTGCTGGTGTGGAACACCGCCATGCCGGTGGCCCAGGAGGTGACCAGCAGCTTCCCCTGGCGCCGGGCTCCGCCCCACGCCAGGCGCCTGCGGGAAGACGTGATGGAGGCCAACTTCTATAGCGCGGTGGAGGCGGCGAGGCACGGCTTCGACGTGCTGGATCTCCATTTCCACTTCCGCCGTGCAGTGCAGCACCTCTGGCGGGATGGCAGGCACTGGGACCCGCGCGCGCACCGCCACCTCTCGCAGCTGCTGCTGGCGCACGTGGCCGACGCCTGGGGTGTGGTCCTTCCCGGGCCCAACCCGGCGGGCAGTCGGATCAGGGATGCCCCTGCAGAAAGACGGCCAGCCTGGACAGACAGGAGGCAGCCACAACGCCGAGGCGAGCCAAATGACCGAGCTGAGTCCAGGGGCCCTCGCCAGTCTTCTACCCGGTCTCGAAGCCGGCCCTGGCGCCAGAATGCCTTCCTGCAGTCTCCTATCTACAGCAACTCCTCAAGGCACCAACGCGAATGTACCAGGGAAACCAACCTTCGCCAACATCATTATACCAGGGAAACCAACTCTCACCAACAGGGATTCACCAGGGAAACCAACTCACGCCAACACAGATACACCAGGGAAACCAACTCACCCCACCATGGATTCACCAGGGAAACCAACTCACCCCACCATGGATTCACCAGGGAAACCAACTCTACGGGTCGTGAGGGGAGACCAGGCCCCATTCGTAGAGTCTATACTCACCATCGAAGCAGGGGTTCTCCTTACCCTTCCAGGCACCCCAGTGAGTCTCGCAGACCCCATCAAAGGCACACCCATCAGTGGATCTAAGCACACCTAGAGACAAGGCCTGCATAGCCACACCAAGGTCCATTTGCCACCAGAGGCCTTAGCAGCCGAAGTAGAGCATGGCTTCCAGCAGCGCTTCCCCCTTGCAGGGACTTTGATTCTCTTTCCACAACTTATACACCATTTCTTGGGGAAGAAGCCCAGATCTGAAATACCTCGCCATGTTCCTGCACCTATTAGCATGTCGTTGGATATGATTCCACAAGAAAAAGTGCCCTTCCCATTGGCGAGCAAGAAAAGAAACGAGAAAGAACCTTCCCTAAGTTGAGTCTTCAAGCAGTATTTAGCATTTATATTTTTCCTAAAGAAAAGGTAAATCTATTTTATTGATTTCAGTTTCACATTAGTTTCTGCATGTTAATAGAACTTGATTTCCAAAGTTTTCATGGTGAATTATTGTGGAGATTCTATAGTTGCATTTGTCAGTTTCAAAATAACATTTGTTCTTTATAAAAAAAAAGTGTCACTAACAGTATGAGAGGGTTTCTTTGCTAGAAGTATTATAATCTCCATTTTAAGTTCATCAAATACCTAGGATTTTAATTTTTATTTTTGAGAAAATACATTCATATGCTGTTATTTTGGTTCTTTCATCCCGCAGTTACCCTCTCTCATTACCAATGAACTACCTCTCCCAACATATCCCAAACCTACATTCATGGTTCATGTCTTTTTGCTTTATGTGTTTGTGACCAACTAAGTTTGTTTGGTTGGTTTTCTTTTCTTCTTTTGTTTTATGAGTCAGTGTCTTCCTGTAGCCCCAGCTGGCCTAGAACTCACTGTGTAGACCAGGCTGGCCTCGGTCTCACAGAGATCCACCTGCCTCTGCCCCCTGAGGACTGGGATTAAAGGTGTGCACCACTGTGCTCAGCATGATCCACTAAGTTTAATTAGGGTTTTTACTTCTTTTTTTTAATGAGCATGGGGTGGGAATTTCTAGAACAATTTTAGATTCTCAGTAAAATTGCACAGAAGGTACAAAGAGGTTTCTATAAACTCCCTGAATCCACATAGGCACAGCCTCCCCCGCATCATCATCACACATCAGATGGCAGATCTGTTATTAGTGAACTTAGGTTGTCAAATCATTATCAATCCAACTCCATAGTTTACATATCGCATTTGCTCTTGGTGGTGTGCGTTCCATAGGTTTTAACAACTGTTCAACACATCTGCCATGATCCCACTGCCTAAGAAATCATTTCACTCAGCTGATCCCTCGAAACCATGGATCCATAACTGTTTTCATAATTGTGTATTTCCTACAGTCGCATAGATCATTCATAGAGTATGAATCCTTTCTGAGTAGCTTATTTTACATATTAATGTGCATGTAAGTTTCCTTTATGTCTTTTTGTGGCTTAATAACTCATTTATTTTTAGCACTGAATAACATTCCATTATGTGGAAATTCCAGTGTTTATATTTCCATCCACCTTACTGACGAACATCTTGGTGGCTTCCCTGTTTTGACAGTTATGAATAAAATAATAAAAAAAAATCATGGGTGAGTGTGTGGGATTTTGTGTGGACATACGACTTCAATTCATTTGAGTAAATATCACGGATGCAATTGCTGGATCAAGCTATGATGAGTATGTTCAGTTTTGCAAAAGACTGTCAGGTTGAGCGTGTAGCATAATGATAGAATGTATATCTGGCATTCATGACCCCTGAGTTGGGTCCCCAAAACTGAAAAATAACAACAGCCAATAATGAATTTGCCAAACTGTTTACTAAAGTAACCACACAAGTTTTCATTCCCATCAGCAATGAACAAGAGTCCCTGGTGCTCCCTGTCCTTCATTTAAGTATCTGCTGTTATCAGTTGAGGGAGTTTTTCCAAGGGATATAAAAATTTTCTAAAAAGATTATTTTTCTCCATTGTATTACTTTGCTCTTTACCAAAGATCATTTGACCATACCGACTTAATGATTTCTATTCTGCTCTACTGAACTCTTAATTACTATAGCTTTAGTGTAAGTCCAGAAAACAAGTATGTCCCGTGATCTACTTAGTTCTCCTTGGGTGTTGTGCTGCCTTCCCTGAGTCTTTTGCTTCTCCACATGAAATTTAACAGTGAGTCCTAAAGACTGTCCTAAAGCAATAGCTCAGTTACGAAAGAACCTCAGTTTGATCCCAGGACCCACATTTTTTTTTAAAGTTGAGAGTGTTCATCAACAGTTGTAATTTTAGCCCAGGTGAGGCAGAGATAGGCGAGTGCCTGGGGCTTCCCAGACAGCCAGCCTGGCCTACTTAGTGAGTTTGAGTTCCAAGTCAGTTAGAGACTGTCTCAAGAAAGAAGGAAGGAAGAAAGGAAGGGAGGAAGAAAGGGAAGGAAGAAGGAAGGGAGGGAGGGAGGGAGGGAATGAGGGAAATTTGTCTTACTGGTGTCTACAAATAGCTTGCTGCAATTTCTGCTGAATTACACTAAATCTACAGGTCAGTGTAGAACTAAAATATTTGTAATGTTTCTACCCGTGAGAAGAGACTATATTTACTTATTTAACTTCTTTCATCAGTTTTTTTGTTGTTTTCCTTATATAGGTCTTATACATGTTTAGTTAAATTTTTTCATTTCACTTTGTGATATGCTAGTGTAAATGATGGTGTATTCAGAATTTCAAATTGTAATTGTTCAGTGATGGAATATAAGAAAACAAGGGACCAGTGAGATGGTTCAGCAGGTAAAAGTGTTTACCAAGCAAGCCTCACCACCTGAACTTGATCCCCAGAAGTCACAGGGTATAAGGAGAACCAACTCTAGAGAGTTGGCCTCTGACCTCTATACCCATGTTGTGATATGTACATGCTTGCCCCCACACACATATACACAGACTTACACACACCAAAATAAAATTTAAAAAAGAGAGAACAAAGGACATTTTTTTAATCTTCTTATTTTGCTATAATCACTTACCAGTTCCAAAATATTTGTGATTGACTTCTTTGGATTTTGTATGCGCTATCATGTTGTCTATGAACAAGAAAAATGTAATTTCCTATCTGTATGCTTGCTTTTCTTTTTCATATTGCATTAGGCAGAACTTCTAGTGTGATGTTAAAAATGGACAGTGAGAGAAGACGGTGCCTCTTTACAATGTTAGCTCTAGGACTTTTGTTTTTGTTTTTTATTTTTTTTTGGGGGGGGGGTTGAGACAGCCTCCCTGTAACCCCAACTACCTGGACTCCCTATATAGACCAAGCTGGCCTGGATCTGACTGAGATCCCTCTGCATTTGCCTCCTGAGTGCTGAGATGAAAGACCTGTACCACTAACCAGGCTCAGCTCTAGGACTTTTGGAGGTTTGGTTTGGTTTGGGTTTTGTTTTGTTTGTTTAAGTTTATTTTTAAAATTTATTTTTATTTTATGTGTATGAGTGTTTTGTCTACATGTATGTAAGTGCACCTGTGTCATGCAGTGCCCAAGGAAGCCAGAAGAGCTCCTAAGATTCCATGTAAGTGGAGTAATGCACAGTTGTTAGCCATCATGTGGTGCTGGAAACCAAACCTGGGTCCTCTGCAAGAGTAGCCAGTGCTTTTAACTACTAAGTCATCTCTTCAGCCCCTGGGTTTGGTTTTTAAAATAATTTTATATACTTTTGTTCAGGCTGAGAACTCTGTTTCTTCTGGAGGAGATGAGAGAGAAGTGATACAACTTCTTCCTTAAATATTAAACAGAATTCATCAGTAAACCCATCTGGCCTTGGTGCCTTCTGTTTCAGCACTAAGGGTGGTTTTGTTTGATTGATTGTTCTGGTTTTGTCTTTTTTTTTTTTTTTTTTTTTGGTACTAGGGATTAAACATAAGACTTCAGTGCATACTAAGCATACACTTTTCTACTGAGCTCAGTGTTTCAGAAGGCTTTAAATTGGTGATTGAATTTTCAGTAGATGTAGGCTTATTCAAATTTGTGAATCCAAAAGGTTTTTTGTCTTTCAAAGAATTGGTAAATTCCATCTTAGTCATCAGATACGTGGGCATAAAGTTGTTAAACCATATTCCTAAAGTCTCCTCATAATGTCCATAAGAGCATGGTAACGTTCTCTTCTTTATATTAGTCGTCTCTTTTTCCCTTAAGTATCCTGCTAGATACTTATTTTATTTATTGATCTTTTCAAGGAACCAACTTTTAGTTTTGTTGATTTGTTTCTACTGCGCTTCTGTTGTCAAGTCCTGTTTTTTTTAAAATCTTTACTTTTTATTCTTTTATTTCTCTGTTTACTTTTCTTGATTTCCCAAGTGGAGTTTCAGATTACTGATCTTATGCTTTTACTACACCCCACAAATTTGGGTGTGTTTTGTTTCATTTTGAAATAAGATTTCTTCTTCCACATGTTATTTGTAAATGTTGTAATCTCCAAATATTAGGAATTTTCCTTTTGTTACTGATTTCTATTTTAATTTCATTATATACTAGGAGCAAACATTATGTGATTTTTTTTTCCATGTGCTTATATCCATTTTATAGTGGCAGAATGTGGTCTCTCCTGGTAAATGTTCCCTGTGAGTTTGAGAAGAATGTATCTTCTGCTCTAATTATATAATGTCTTTCATCAATGTCATTTATATCTAGTTGATTGATAGTGTGGTTGAGTTCAACTATGTCTTCAGTGATGTTTCTGCTTGCTAGATCTGTTATAGAGAGTAATAAAGCTCAAACGGTGGATTCATCTGTTCCTCTTAGGAGTCCTATCAGGTTTTGCATCATTTATATTAATGCTCAGTTTTTACATACGTACCCCCTTGGGATTGTCTGTCTCCTTGGACAATTGATTCCCCTGTCATTATGTCTATGCCTCATAATGCACATTGCTCTGAAGTTTGTTTTGGCTAAAATTAATATAGCTACTTCAGCTATCTTTTAATTACTGTGATGATAAATTGTTATGTATTTATTTTGATTTATATGTCTTGAAATTCAAAGTTGATTTCTTGTAGACAACGTAGAGTTCATCTTGTGATCCATTCTGACAATTTAT